GTACAGCAGATATATATTCATCAATTAAAAATACTTTGTCAGACTTATAAGGGGCCTTTTTAGCCACTTAATTTCAATACACTTGATTTTTTTGAAAGTGTACTTCATAATTGGTGCCTAAAGAAGGGAATGACACAAGATGGGGAAATTATGTTTTTTAAATTGTGGTAAATCTAAGGAGCACAAAAAGGCACACTTAAAACAAAAACAAAAGGATTTTAAAGTGCCTAGCCTCAACTATTATTTTAATGTAAAGCCCTGTTCATTTTGTACTCTTTTCAAATAACTTTGTATGTTTAGAATATTTCAAAGTAGTAATGCAGGACTGTGCAGCTGTGCCTGCTAATGTAGAAATGTTTCCTTCCTTTCTCCCCCCCCCCAAGCCATGCTAATAATAATCCTGGTGTTGTATTGCCTCATCTCACGTTACTGTCTCTTTTTAGATGATCTGCAGCTTCCTTCCTATGTAGTGCCGCTCTGCCTATGACGTAGTTAGGAGATAGAGTAATGTTACTGTAAAATAATAAATGGAGGGCTGCCTCCTTTCCTAGCAAAAGGAAGCCAAGGGGTGCTTCGATCTTTCTAGAAATTGGGAAGAAAACCAGAACACACTTGCAACATGGGTTGTAAAGAAAAATTCTTCAATAGAGAATATAGCAGTTAGGAGATGAAATTAGTTCCTGCAGAATTCAAACTAATTATGAATTATACTCATTGACAAATTGGCACACATATGAATAGTGTTAAAAAGATAGGCCCTACATGCCTCACTTTGTTATTGCTTTTGCAGGAAACACTCTCTTCTCTTGGATTTGAGCTATTTACCAGGCTTTGCTGTTTTTAGAACATCTTTTAACAGTGGCCCACCTTGCTTTTCTCCTTTAATGCTCAGTAATCCAGAAGGCCTTTTAAGCCCTGCTCCCCCTCTTGCAAAATGCCTTGGGAACAGCCCTTCATTGGTAACCGCAAAGCTGTTTTGCTCCATTAGAAGCAGCAACCATTTTTGCTTCCAGGTTGAGAGGGAGCTTCTCCAGGAGTGCTCACCCAGGGGAACAAGAGGAGGAAATTTAAAGAAATCGATTGCATTGGTAAAATGTCAGGGTAACTGACATTAAATTGGGAGATTTAAGGGTTCTTGAATTGCAACAGTGGATCAGGTTGCATGGTTTAGTGTAACGTATTTATAATTTTCAGTAGGCTCGCTAATGTTTCCATTGTTGTCACTGCTATTTTTTTTTTTTATCTTCAGTCTTCTGAGCCCTTGAACCATCTTACGTCTTCAGCACTCACAATAACTGCTTAGAGGATAGCAGCCCAGCTGCATCCTTACATGTGTTAGTTGTATGTGTCCAATTTTTAGAAACAGAGACTTGGGGGGGAAAAAACCAGCTGTGATTTGCTGATATGTGTAAACTTGGAGAGGGGCTTGGACTTACTTGGTTATTAGTTTTTCAAAATTAACTTGATACATCCAATGTTTCCTTTTGCTTTCATTGGGTTGGAATACAACGTGGAAAACTTACTAAGCCATCACCTACCTCTGCAAGTGGGACTTCTCTTCTGAGTGATTTTACTGCTCCCTGTATTGGCTGGCATGATATACTGACTCACCTGCATGTTTTTGAAGAGGCAGCAGCTTCACTGATCAATCCGCTTGTGAATTTGCCATTGTTTATTTAAGCTTGAGCAGCTTGGCTTCAGGAGTTGTAAGAAACTTTTCTTCCTGCACAGCTTTGGCTAACAGGTGACGCATTAAAATATTAACTTGGGTGTTTGAAACAGCACCCATGAACTACATTGGCTGTTTTCCTTAAAAGACTAACAGATGCATCTCAACTAATTAATGTGTTATAGATGTCCTGCAGCACATCCTTGCGTGTATCTTTATGTGTTTTCCTTTTTTAAACTGAACAGTGAACCTTTAAAAAAATTTCTAATGTTTTTGCTTTTTTTCTTTCTTTTTTTTTTTTTACTTTCCACCTTTCAGCTGTAGAGTAGTTCCTGGAGAAGGCCAGTGCAACAATACAACTTCATATCTTAGCCTGTGTCGTTATGCTTAGAAGTGATGGTTGCCTGTTGCACAAAGAATGGAAACCACTCTTAATGAATCTCCCTCCCCCACACCCAAACCATGTTCTTTTCAATAAGCAACCTGTGTTCTTGTTTAGTCTTTTTTCTTTTTTGGCATGTTATGTCTGGAAACAAACAGAAATAAAGCTTTATCTTTTAAGTGCTGCTGCAGGAAGAAAACTTACAAATGCTGAAGAAACATACTTCATAATGTAATAATTGCCATGGTAGCTTATTATGGCTTATAAGAAATATTCAAATTGTTTTTTTAATTTCATTATAGAGTTTTCTTTTTTAAAAAAAGCAGTTGATTGTTTAAACATGTGCACTTTTACTATTTTGATATTTACTTTAATATCTTTTTATTCTTTTTTTGTAGAAGAGTTTATATTAATGGGAAAAAAATCCAGTGACTTATGCTAATAGTCTGTCTCTTTGGAGCTTGTGCTTAATCTTTTCCCATCCATTTGTGGCAGAGTTTTATAGTATATTGTTTTGTTTAGAAAGGAGCTTCAACACAAACTAGGACTTCTGCTAAACTATGTGCTGTGTATCAGCATTTTTTCTTTTTTTTTAATTATAAAATATTAAGCTTTATATGTTTTCAGTTACTGATTTTTAACTGCCATGTTAATTAAGAAATCCAGGGTATTCAAATTCTGGGGTTTTTTCATATTGTATTATTATTCTTAGGAATAGTTCAATGTAACAAGAAGAAAACTTGACTTTGCTCTGGTGAAAACAGTTATAGGCACTTGAAAATAAATATTAGTGTTACCTATTAATTCCAGAATGTCTGGGTTTTAGGAAAATCTTATGGTGTATGATTGGTTAACAGAATTTTATACAACTGTATCACTTAAATTCCAAATTGGAATTGTTTTTGTTACTACTTTGTTTTATTGTGCCAAATTGTGTTACATTTTAGAAAGATAAAATCTAAAGTTCTGACTGCTAGGGTGTTCTATTTCAGCGCCTTTTTTCATTTAATGATTGCCAGTAGTGCCTTTCATAATTTTCAAGGGAGATTCCTAAGCTAGCTTAGTCCGTCCACAAAATAAAGAACCATGATTTTGAAAGCTAGTTACCAAGTGGAGCAATAAGGGCAATGTAACCTCCCCTTCGCACATTTTTAATGAGTAGATCTACTGTAGAGTAGATCTACTATATATATGCGCAAATTGTAAAAAATTCTGTTAGTCAATGATACTAAATCATGCAAATTCAGGGGTATAGAGAAAAAAAATGGTAAACAAAACACAAATATACTTTGCAAACCAAAAGCGATATTATTGAACAAAAGAAGCAAGGTGTATTAATCCATTTGTGGTTGCAGTTCAGAGGATGTTTTGGGGGTTCTGGTAGCTTTGTGTGGTGATGGATCCAGTTAACCATAGTATTGTTTGCAAATGTGAAGAAGAAAAGCAAGACATTTAATATTTTTTCTCTTGCATGTTTTATCTAATCAAAATTGTGATTTCAGGAAACAGAAACAGAGAAGTGCATCAACAAGTTGTCCCTGCGGTGCTATTTGTTGAGGCTAACTTAATCATTAAAATTTGGTACTTTTGCAAGGAGGAGAAATCATTTTTCTCTTTGTGTAAAATAATTTTAAAAGAATAGAAATCATAATCATGTCATGGGAAAAAGCTTTCTGTTTGCTGAAAAAATGTTCTAGAAGGTGGGGACTTACGTTTTCATCTTTTTGGTTACAGTATTGACTTATAAGTGGTATGATTACATTTAAAATTACATCTCTATGTGGGTATTTATTTGAATGTCAAAGTACTGTATTATGTTTTTATGTGCATTTCCTTTTAGTGGTGGATTGGTCTCCATTTTATTGTCATATGCATGAACTCTTGCCAAGTAACCTTTACACAGACCTGGAGCAAAGAATTTAATGTAAATGCTTAAAACATGGAAACTAAGTAAGGAACAACTCTGGTGTCATTTTGATAATTTTAAGAGGTGTAGAGGGCAATGTTAATTCCAAAAGAAGAGTGTATGTTGTGTAGGAAAGCAATTTATCTGCGTAAAGGTAGTCACATTGGCAGTATCAATAAAGGAGAAGGAAGAAATTCTGACTATTCTGTTTTTTGAATTACACCACTTTGTTGAAGAACATGCTAGTTTACAAAGTATGTTCAGTTCTTTATGTTACAAGAATCTATATATGTTACAGGAAAGATACAGATGGAGATATCTGACAGTAAATCTTTTACTGAAATCAATAACATTTTAGAAGTTGTTTAGCTGAACTTGTGTTCTATGTTTTTAAATGTACATTCAGGATTCTTTCAGTGATTTTCTTAAAACTTTAACTCCCAAATGTAGCAGAAACCCATTGAAAATGTGTAATTCACGTATATTAGATGTGAAATTATCTGAGTTTCTGTTTTAAGTGCTGCTTGAGATCTAGATTTGTTGTTGCTATAATCTGTGAAAAATCCCAGAGCTAGTGTTACATCATTATTTTAAATTCAAAGAAGTGGATAATCTAACTAGTTTATAATATAACATTTAGCTTAAAGAAGAGGAAAATAGGGAAGACATGATAGTCTTCTAATATTAACCTGCACAAAATCATCTTGTGAGCTCTT